ATGTGGTGCTGGGGGATCGAACCGTGGTCCCTGTGCTTTGCCAAGCTTGTTCCATGTAGGTGCTTTAGACCACTGAGCCATCTCGCCAGCCCTTTTTTTTTTTTAAATGTATTTAGTGCAGGGTCTACAGGGTCTCACACAGATCGGTCCCGTAGTGATCCTCCTGTTTTCAACCTCCTAAGGCTGTGATTACAGGCGTGCGCCCCCAGGCCCAGTCTCAGTCGCTGTCTCAGCGTGCCCAGGGGGTGGGGCCGCCACGCCATGCCAGGGATCGGTCCCTGAGTCTGCCTAAGTAGGCGCTTTAATCCGCAGAGCTATCTGGCCGGCCTTGTGCTGACTCTTGCTAATTGCCTCTGTGGCTTGTCACTTTTTACAGTCACTCTCAAAAAGGAAATGGAAGCCGCTTCCCGAGTTGCCCAAACCTTGCAGAGTAGGGTATGAGCGCCGGCCTGACGTCATTGAGGTCCTGGATCACAGCTCTCTGCAGGCAGCATTTTGCTGCTGCTCGGGAATCACCTTGCACAGTCAGTGGGACCACTGTCCACCGTGGAGCAGGGACTGGTTCAGCTAGTTGGACCTGTGGTTGGGGAGTCCATTGCGTACAAAAATGCTGTTAGTTGAAGCACTTCCCTGGGTTTCTGATCACCTTTATGTAGGCTGCCCAGTTAATCATGCAACCTAGAAAGCTTGAAGCCATAGACATAACTTCTAGGCTAGTTATTGGTGCTACTCTGCGTTGTGTGTTCAGGGTTCCCAGTGGGACAGATTGAGAGGGCCTTAGACACATAGTGTAAACTGAGAAGAGAGATGAGCTGGACTCCTTAATCTGAGAATATGTCTCCCTATCACTGAGCCCTGCCCTCAAAACTTTGGGCCTTGCTATGTCTTGAACTCAGTGTGGAGCCCAGGCTGGCCACAAACTTGCCTCCATCCTGTGCCTCAGTCTCCCCAAGTGCTGAGTACTACTGGGATGATGGGCATGTGCCACCACACCTGGCAAGGAGAGCCTTTTATTTTGGAGGAGGGAGGATACTAGGGATTGAAAGTAAGGCCTTTGAATGGAGCTACATCTCCAGGCTTTTATTTTTAACTGTTGAAGTAGTGCCCCACTAAATTGATAAGTTGCCAGGCTGAGCCCAAGTTTCCTGCCTCGGGCTCCCAGAGTGCTAGGATGCACCACCATGCCCAGCTGTGAGTGATTCTTAAGGACAAGGTGCAGCAATGGGTGAAGAGTTTCTTGCCATCTTTGAGGGACAGGAGTGGAAGAGCGTAGGGAGATTTCCACAATGCCTAGTTTTGATGAAAGCCAAAGTAGGGCAGCAGACATCAGGGTGCCATTAAAATACAGCCACTCCTACTTCTTTAGTTAAAGAGATTTGCGAGAGACTTGCCTGTTGAGGCAGGGGCCATGCGCTTTGAAGGAGAGTGTTAGCTGGCAGGCATTTGATTTTTTTATTTTTTTGCGGTACCGGGGATTGAACTCAGGGCCTTGCGCTTGCCAGGCAGGCACTTATTCTACTGAGCTATCTCCCCGGCTCGTGACAAGAATTTGAGAGATGCTCTTATTTGGGTGCAGATCGGGAATGAGGTGGGGTGGTACAAGGGCTTTCTCTAGATGACCATGAGTGGCACACCAAGGACTAAAAGCTGCATCCCCAGAGTTGGAGCCCTTTGTTCTCTGCCACACCCTCCGAAGTGCCTGGAAGGTCAGATTGGCCCTGGGAAACCCAAGCATCGTCATGGGAGAAAAAGGTCTGACATTGTGGGAAAGATCACTCTGGAATGTCATTGGCAGTTTATTGACTTTTTTTTCACAACCAGGTACCACTGTGTATTTAAAACACAAAAAGTGGCAGAAAGCAATAGGGTAGGACATATTAGGTGCCATTGGTTAGGTTACACCAGGGTGCTTTGGGGACCTTAGTATCAGGACGTTGCAGTTCTGATCTGTGGTGTCTGAGAAGAGCATGGGCTCACCCAGAAGGCAGAACACCCAGTAGCCATGCCTGGGAGAGGTAGCAGTGGGGGTGCAGGGGACCAGGGCCCTGTCACATGTCCAGCCCAGCTGGAGGGCTTTCTACAGCTGTCCGTCAAACACCTCTTCCAGTTCCACTATGTGCAAGCTAAGGTGATTCTTCCAAGCCCCACTCAGCAGGGTGGAGAGGCCAGGGGGATCTTCCAGGGTCAGGTGAGGAAACACGAGTGTCTCATTCTTGAGGGGGAAGCTGCATTTCTCCATGACATGCCTGGTGGTCCCAGGCATCACCACAAAGAGGCGGCAGAGCCATGGCCCCCCAGCCACCTGGCAAGCCGGCTTTTTGGTGAAGTTCTTCACGGCTTGGCACAGGACCCAGTCCTCGCTTCCACCTATATCGACCACCTCCACAGGTGACCCGAGGCCTGGGAGGTGCAGAAGGTGCTGGGGGGGCATGTAGGTGTGTGCAAAGAGGAGCGTGTAGTGGGTTGGCAGGCCTGGGCGCACAGGGGCATGGACCACCTGCTCCAGGACCCTCAGGCCGGGCACCAGGCCTCCCTGATGCAGACAGCCGAAGAAGAGGGCACCGAGGGCATTGAACAGGACAAGGGTGCCTTTCCAGGGGACTGGGTGGGTCCGCGGGCTGCACAGCAGAACCAGGGGGATGAGGAGGGGGATGAGGAACCGAGCCTCCTGGTGGCTGAAGGCAGACAGCAGGGCCAGGGGCACAAAGTAGAGGAGGAGGAGAGATGCCCGGGGGTTGGACAGCAGGTTCCAAGCCCCCTGTACCCTCACAAGACCCACCTGTGCCCACGCCCGGAGGCCCGCTTGCAGCTGCTGCCACGCGGCTTGCAGCGCCTGGGCGTGCAGCACCCCGAAGAGCAGGAAGCCATTGAGGGCCAGGTGAGTGAGCCGCGCGTGTGTGCCATGTTGGGCGAGGTTCTTGGGATCCAGGTTGTAACGCAGGAAGTTGGCGGGGGTGAGGACTAAGCTACCAGACCTGGAGAGGCTGGAGAAGTACCAGCTGTCCACGGCCACAAAGGCCCCTGTGGCCAGGGCTGCCCCGGGGAAGAGCATCAGGGCCTCCCAGGCCAGGGACTGGAAGCTGGGCTCCCGGGATCCACGCAGGCCCCAGAGGAGGAGGGGGACCAGTGCGAAGGCCAGGAACGTGGGCCGGTTGAAGAAGCCAGCAGCCACCACAGCCCCAAGAAGCCAGCTGTGCCACCATGGGCCTGAGGCAGGTTTCCCGGGCGAGAGGCCCCATGCCACATGAGGGGACACCAGCACCAGCAGCCACGTGAAGAGAAGCCCCTCGATAGCGTTGGAGAAGGTCCTGGTGTAGAACACCAGTGTGACATAGGAGCCGGACAGCAGGGCCAGCGCTCGCCAGCGATCTGCACCCCACTGCGGCGCCAGGTGGTACACGGCCCGGTCCAGGGCAAAGGACAGGGCTGTGAGGAGGAGCCGGGGCCCGACCAGCAGCGTGTAGCCACTCACAGGACCTGGCCATAGCCCCAGCTCCTCCCAGAGCCGGAGTACCCAGAAGGCAGAGCCTGAGGTGAGCAGTGGGAAGACCGCTGTGCGGCAGGAGCTGCTGGCGTAGAACTCCCAGGGCCGAGTGGCCTGCACTCCCAGGACATCCTCTGCGGAGATCAGAGACGAGGGTGAGCCTGCGTCAGGCCCAGGGGCGGTGGGCAGAGCCTGTGTCACCCCTGGCTTGGGTACCAGGGGAATTTGATGTCTGTGATTTTAATCCTCATATTCCAGCCCCACAGTTGTAATCCTCTCATCACCCTCTGCCAGCCCTGTCTCCAGCATGTAAAGGATTTGGTGTTCCTGCTGGGTTTAGAAGTGGACAGCTGCGGGTGAGGGACGTAAGCGATCCCAGAAGCTGACGCCAAGGAAATAAGGGCCATGGTCCCCTCATTGTAGTGAACTGAATTCTGCCAGCAATGGGGATTTTGCAAATGGATGTTCTTTCATAGTACATCCAGACCCAGATCCAACCCTGTCCATATTTTGATTTCTATTCTTGTTTTTGCTTTGAGACAATGTCTCACTGTGTAATTCAAGCTGACCTTAAACTCACTGCATAGCCTCGGGTGGCTTTGAACTTAACAGTGATCCTGCCGCCTCTGTCTTTGGAGTGCTGGCATTAAAGGTGTGTACTACCAAGCCCAGTTTATATCTTGATTCCAACCCTGGGCTTCCCTGAGAAGAGAGCTGCAGGACCTTGGAACTGAGGCTACAAATGTGTCAGACTAACAAGCTAAACTTCAAGGTTTGTGCCTTTCTTCAGTTTGGGTGGGTGATTAAGGCATCCTATGGAGGGACAGGAAGTGACAGCCCTGAACAGGCCAAGGGAAGGATCCAGGGAAGTTTTGCTCCTTCTCTCAGAATTCCAGGATTTCTGAGTCAGAGTCATTTCTGGTACTGAATGTTTCTAATGAGACTCCTGGCTGGACATGGTGTCACACACCTATAGTCTCAGCTCTCTAGAGGCCCAAAGCAGGAGGATCACCAAGAGTTCAGGTCCAGCCTGGGCTACACAGTGAGTTTCAGGCCAGCCTGTATTGAAAGACCCTCTCTCAGAAAACAAAAAGAGAAAACTGCATAGGATAAAAGACTGAACTTTCTAACTTAAAGACCAAATCTGCTTGTGAGCCTGTGAGCAGAGAAAGCTGGAGACCTCCTGAGTAGCTGCCTCTCCCTTTGTCCTTAGTCTCTTTAGCTGAGTGTTTGGGCATATAAACTCTGGACTTCTTAACTTCCTTTTTTTTTTGGTGGAACCGGGGATTGAACTCAGGCCCTTCCACTTGCCAGGCAAGCACTTATCCTACTGCGCCATCTTCCAGGCCCCTTTAACTTCCTTTGCAATGAAGGTTATGTGATAAGGTGTGGTGACAGGATACACTCAACCCATGGATGGACAACAAGCCGATGGCCTACAAAATATAACTGTAAAAGAGCAGGCATGCCTGTTGTGTTCTGTTGGCTGGAAGGATGACTGAAATGCAGGCAGCCTCCTTGCACCACGAGGAGGAAGCGGCTTGCCCAGAGCATCTGAAATCCCCCATGCTGTGCCACCACTGCCGCCGCCAGCTGTCAGCTCTGCCCTGGGAGCAGCAGGACTCAGGGCCCCTCCCTCCCTTGATGCTAAGAGGAAAAGCTTCATTAGAGGCATCTGTGTACCAGCTTCCTCAGCACCCAGGAAAGCCCGCCTAGAACCGCTACACGGAGAGAGCTGGGTCTGCTGCTGTTCTGGAGGACCTGCGGGCCCCTACAGGGAAATGCGAAGGGGCCTGCCGTGGGTCCTGGTCGCCTGCACACAGGGGCGTTGCCTTCCCCTTCCGGGTTACGTGTGGGGAGTTACCTGCCATGACCTCCGGCGACTGGAAGAACTCATCAGGGTGCACATAGCCTGTCTGCGGAAGCAGGCACCACAAAACTCGGAGCAGGCTGAGGCCTCCCCAGAACGCCCTGGCCGCCACCTCTGGGTTCAGCTGCTGCCGAACGGTGGGTTGAGAGACCGGCATGGCCACCCCGCTGTGGTCACTGTTCCGCTGGGTCCTCAGGTCTGTGTCTGCTGGGAGCAACACAGGTTAGTTATTAGAATATAAATTAGGGGGGAACAACCCGCTCGGGCCCCCCTCCTGTCCCTCTCTCGACAGGAGCTTTCTTTCTCTCAATAAATATATTCTGATATATATATATATATATTAGCTGGGCATGATTGCATACGCTTATAATCCCATTACGCTGGAGGCTGAGGCAGGAGGATCAGTTGCTATGAGTTCATTTGCAGCCAGGGCTATCTAGTGAGATTCTGTCTCAAAAAGTCCCCCTAAAACTATGAATATTTGGGCTGGTGAGATGGCTCAGTGGTCTAAAGCACCTACTTAGAACAAGCTAAGCTAAGCAAAGCAAAGCACAGGGACCACGGTTCAATCCCTCAGCACCACATGCCAGCCAGCCCCGCCCCCTGGTGGGCTGAGCTGGCCACACACAC